CACCCAATAAATGAGAGATGATAAACGCAATGGTCCCTTCAACTGTCTTTGATGTTCCAGGCCAACGTCTGCGACCATAACGTTTACCAATTATAGATGCCTAATTAAAATAAATTTTGCTTGTTATTTTGTTCCTTGATAATCAATAAAATATCGATAAGTTAAAGATATTGAAGACAAACCATAGCATCACCAAGACCTAAAGTTAGAATACCTGACATATTAGCCAGGATAGAAGTCCTATATAAAGATAAGGATTAAATCAATTCAAAACATTCAATCTCAATTGTGTTCCCAACAAGATTCTTAAACAATACACATGCATAACAAATATGAAAATGCCACGATGTTACTTTGTCCTACTACTAATTAATCATGAATGGTAATCAACCTACCCTTGCATCCAGATGCATGCAGCACATCCAACTAGCAAGTATAAATGGCTTAGAATGCAAGGACCTGAATCACGATTATCTAAAAATTCACTTAGAAAAATGTGTATATTTTTTCCTAATGGATATACAGCAAAATACCGCAAATATTCTAAAAATATGAAAGCAGAAAGAGCCACACTAAATGCCAAATGCATGAATTCGGGCTAGAAAAATTTACATGTAAATAACATATATATTAAAAGAACATAATACATCCAAATAATTCATATACCTCGAAAAAATATCCAGGAACAAACATAATTACGGTTAGAAAATGAAAATATTTTCGCTTGGTGTTTAAAGAATATAATCTTCGTGTTTGTGGTATGTGAGTGAATAGTACAATTGAAATTGTAATTATAATAGTCCAGTACAAGCATAACACTATTCTTGCAGGTGTTTTGAAAACATAATGTAGTATCCTAAATTATGATAATCATGGAAAAGCGGATAATGAATCAAACATGAATATATCATGGTAAAGTGTATAATGAAATAATTAAAATTGTAAAACAAGCACTAACCAAAAATAAGGATTTTCGGACAAGAAGAACTGTATGCAGTGGCTTATAAACCCAACGATCAACGACGTGCCAACAAATAAGGCAAAAGAAGTCCATTTCCGACCATTAAGAAAAACACGTTTACGTTTGTTTTTCCATGCTGGACGTTGAGCCAAATTCCTTGAATATATTAGTAAAGGAGAAAGAATGATTCCTATCAGGAACATTCCTAAAATTAAGGAAATTTGAAAGATGGTAATGTCGCTTGGAAAATGGAGATTTAATGACGGAATCTTTATAAGTTTAAACTATATTGCGTATTCAAAAAAACAAAGTAATGAATAACGTATCGCGCATAATCACGATATGCATAACCATGATATATAACGAGCCGAACCTTTTTAACAGTAATGACCCATAATTCTACTGCAAGCAATGTAATTGCTTGAGCGACAATCGCTAATTCGCCAAACGTGAAGTTCTTTTTCAATATTAATGCAATTGAGTATAATGTTGTCTGATAAAATATTTGAGAAAATAATATATGTTGCCACGGAAATTCTATCGTTAAAAGATAAGTTAATAAACTATGATCTTACAATAATGCGAATAAGAATTTTAATATAAAGATAATAATAAGAATAATAAGAATGAGAATAATAATTATAATTATTAATTATTATAGCTAACTATGGTTATTAAATATTATTATTACTTATTATTATGATTAATTCATATTATTATTGCTTAAAACTTACTTTCAAACAAAGGTAAGAGCCCTAAAGATGCCATTGATATAACCAAAATTATAGATAAAAGAGTAACTATGCTCATCGCCCAAATGACGGACATATTAGGTAAATTAACATGTTTAGACATAAACATATGAATCAAAATTCCGCATCCCATAACAATGCAAAGTTCAAAATTTGCTTCGAAAAATTCTAATTGATATTCATAAAAAAAAAAAACAAAGAAAAACATCCAAAAACTTAATGTTGTCATTTATCGAATATGGGCCACATCAAGAACCCAAGATTATGACCACCTATATGGCCCGCTCACCCTAGATCAAGAAATCATCTTTCATACCGATGTTGATGTCATCATGTACACTTTTTGAGCGATGAATATCTACTAACTTGGCAGCAGCTACGGTAGGAACTAATAAAGTACCATAAAATGCACCATCATCGACATCATTTCTGCATTTTAATGATAATGTTTTGAGAACAGATTTTAAATATATCATAATAATCATCATCATAATAAGAATGAAATGATACCTATAGCATTTTTCATCTGTTCCCCATATCATGTGAGAAAGTTTTTCACCCTTGTTTGAAAATGGTAAATCAAAAGAATAGACACACCAAGTCCAAATTGCAAGTAAAATTAAATCTAATTTTTGTAAACGTTTAAGGAGATTAACAAGAAATAAGAAAATTTTTAAGGACAAAGCCACTTTAATTAACGTTACCTAGACTTTCAATGCGTCCAACTTCATTTGCAGCCATTATTTTGACAAGTCTCATGCTAGCGTATAATGAGATAGCAAAAATTACACCACGTTCAAATACACTCGCAGTGACAGGTATTGGCGAGGGAAAAAAATTGCCCATTTTATTTCCAAAATCAGTTTTTTGGGTCGAATTTTCAAAACTATAATCGATCTCTTCCTCGCTCGTACTGCTGCCTGTTGGGGAAAAAGAAAGTATATTCTTTTTCCGCTCAACGAGAAAGTTACAATGACGATTTGTACTTGAGCTCAAAACAGGAGTAAAATCAAAAACCATACGTAAAATAAAAATAAAAATCACGAATGAACAAATTAATGAAAATGGAAAGTTAAGATGATTAAATGTTCTTGATAACGGAACTCCAGGATGACTTATATAGTTATGTATGTACTATTTAATATAAACGATCAACAAGATTTTTTTAAATTAGGAAATTTACAGTGTTA